TTTAAAAACGTTGTGTAATTTATTTATCTATCAACACAATTTAAAGTTTGATGTATAGCCTGAAGTCTGTGATTTTGACACAATTTGGAACAGATTTTTACGAAGAGCAAATTTTCTCCCTATAAATTGGTCATGTGACTAGGACATAAAGGACTCCGGGGGATTAATCGTCAAATTAATCATTATCGGCTAAATACCACAATTAATCGTGATTAATTTATTTGCCAATATTGCCCAACCCTAATGTTAACAGATGTCTTCTGGCTCAAATGAGTTTGTAAACAATTTAAATAACATCAAAGTTGACTTGCATGTGAAATTAAATCTAAACAAATAAGTTATTAAGACATTCTTTATGTTGTAGGGAATAAAATGGAGTGCCAGTGCAGTATTAGACATGAATTGTCAAATATATTTATACTTGCAATGTTGCATATAAAAGGCAGGGCTCTAGACTGACTTTTTGCACTMGTTGCACCTAACCTWTTATCTTGTGTTTTGCTGTGTTGATACTGCTAGATTGATTTATTATGGGACATAGAAGTTATTTGTTTCGGTGGGTGACACCCCCCCACCCCCGAACAACTGCAACTGGACTTTAGAGCCCTGAACGGAGAACCAGACTGCTGCCTCAATTTCAGTTTAGTTAGTACTTCACCACAAGTGTAAAAGCAGCTCGAATTTTATAGAAAAAAAAGTTAAATAGATGCTTATTTTTGGATTCCTAAATTCCTCTGACTTGTATTGTCTCCTCAGTTTCGGATGCAGAAGGCAGTGAGGGGGCCTTCCAGCTGAAGAAAGAACATGCCCTGCGGGTGCTGGGCTTCATCAGCTCCTGGACACAGAGGTCAGTGCTGCTTTGGCTGGAATCTGATCCAGAGTTTCAATGAGAAGACTAAGTATAAAAATGTGTTTACTCATTTTAATTTTTTTCGTTTGAACGTTGAGGGTATGGAAAAACAGTTACAGCTCCACAGCTGCCTCGAAGTTTGATATGTAGAAGAGTGATGAGGAATGCAAAAGTAAATTTAAAATTGTAATTTAAAGTTTTCAGAAGATTACTTGTAAAAGAGACTATTGGCTACTTTGAAGCGGGGTTCTTTGATAATTTAACTTTTTTAGATGGCAGCCCCACTTCTGTCAGTGTGCCCCATGGCAACTGTGGCTACAATGTAGCACACCATCATCAGTGTGTAAATGATTGAAGTGTAAAGTGACTTGATAAAGTGCTAAATAAGTTCAATCCATTTAAAATCTTTCTCATAGGGTGAGAATGATGATGAGAAAGGTAAAGGATCAGTCCAGGAGGAGCTTGATTATGATTTTCAAAGGCAGTTGGGACCACTGTCACCAAGAACACTGTTGGTGACACTACGCTGTGATAGATTGAAACTTTGTAGCATCAATGTCCCTTTGATTAAGTTCATTTTCGACTTCCAAAATGTCCTTAAAATCAATCTACCATAAAAATAGTAACTTCATGTACAGTCATATGAAAAAGTTTGGGTAACCTTGTTAATTTTCCTGATTTACCTTTATAAATCATTGATTGTTTGGATTAAAAAATATCAGTTAAATATGTCATAGGGGACAAARACAGTGATATTTGAGAAGTGAAATGAAGTTGATATGATGTACAGAAAGTGTGCAATAATTGGTTAAACAAAATTAGGCTGGTACATAAATTTTGGCACCATAAAAAAATCTTATCTCAATATGTAGTATCTCCTCCTTTCACAGAAATAACATTCTCTACTTGTTTTATAAAAACATAAATTTACGTGACTCACCTGCAGTTATGGTAATAAATTTACACATACATGAATATTTAAT